TTCTGCAAATGTAACATTTTCTGCAAAGTAGGAGTCTAGTGAGACGCATGCGACGGAGTGCATATGTATGGAAATATTGAATGTGGCTCACAGCAATCACCTTCTCTGCAGGAAGGAATGGAATGAATGGAGCACCTGGTCCTCGAGGTGACAGCGGAGTACCGGGAAATCCAGGTCTCGCAGGTATGCATGGCAGGAACGGAGATTCAGGCTACAGAGGTCGTGGAAAACCAGGCCGACCGGGAACTAAAGGACCTCCGGGAGGATATGGTGAGCCAGGAATGTCAGGAATCAGAGGTGAGATTACAAAATTACAAACTGACAGAGGTGAAAACAAGTAAAGCGAGATAATTTAAGGAGTTGATGGACGTCCTGGTCTAATGGGAGTACCCGGTATGCCAGGCAATCCTGGTATGAAGGGCAAAGATGGCATTGATGGCATGACTGGGGCCCCAGGTGTTCCCGGATCTGACGCAAGTTACTGTCCTTGTCCCAAACGAGGCCAGGTTGTTGTACTCCCTTCTGCAAACCAAGACGAGCTTATCAGGAGTGTCATTCGAAGGAACGCAAGAGGGACGAAAGGTTGAGCGAGTGATAATGTTGCAACTCATCTAGTATGAACAGATGATCTCAAAATTTGATAGGAGAATGGTTGCAACATGTGTGCGATTCATTACAGCTCATCTTGAATAGTTATGAATTAGTGTCAGTGCTTGTTCGATTATGTATTTCTAACACTAAATTTCCATAAATATTCATTATGCTATGCAGGTAAAGTCTCGGTGAAAAAATCATTTTGTTTGCTTGTTGGAACGAAAGCCTACAGGAATTGACTGCTACAAAGACGAGGATCGTGAGCATGAACAAACACATTTAAAAAAAAAGAATCTTATCATCCACATTGTAATACTCTGATCACTGCAAGAACATTTGTTGATTTCTACAGCGAATAGAAAACATTTCATGCTTTGCCAGAGCTTACGCCAATACCAATAGTGCTAACGCTTAAGCCTATAAGTGTGTACCTCAACTCTAGCGTAATAGATGGTACTCTTTATAAGCAATTCTGATATCATGCTAACAAGCAAAAAAAAGTCATAAAAAATATCTGGAAATAACGAAATCATAAATGAGAAAACAGAAAGCACTATTTCGGGACGCTGTTCAATTGTAGTCGTCTCTCCAATGATTCTTTAGTTTTGATTGAAATCTTAAAATTTTATTCGTAAAGTTGTCAGCGTTCGTTCGAAATGACTATGCTTGCTACCTTTGGCAGA